TCAATTGAACTAAAAGTTTGGCTTTTTTTGTAATCAAAGTGGACTGGGCTTTACTGCTCAACCATACTCCTAGGAATCTTGTGAGTGTTTTGCTTTTTTCAGCTTCAACTTTTTCTTTCACTAATAGTACATTTCTATCATTTGCACTTACAGACAGATTAATTATTATTAGCTTTGACTTTTTTGGGTTTACTCTTATATCATTTATTGTATAGAACTCTTCTGCAATCTTGAGCGTTGCCTCTAGCTGTGATTTACTATTGGCTACCTACGTTGTGTTGTCTGCATAAGCTAGAGCTGCTTGTTGATATTTAGTTTCTTTAAAAGTATTTTGGCTTAGGTTAAGTGGTTCTTTCAGCAGGACTGTGTACCACAATTTTGTATTGCTTTGGACTCTATGTATTAATAGATCATAAAATATTCTCCATACCAATGGAAATAGTACTTCTCTTTGTTTAATACTATCAGATGCTATAATATTCTCTGTAGGACCTACTGCTGTTAGAATTTTAGTCTTTCTTTCTTTAAATAAGTTAATGATAAATTTTGTTGGAGTGCTTGGGATTTGGATTCTTTCCATTGCCAGTTTAAGCATTTAGAGAGGAACTGAGTCAAATGCTTTCTGCATATCCTGAAACAAGAGCCATAGTTCTTTGTCTTGTTTTTTTGCATCCTCTGTGATACTGTTAAGAATATATATCACCTTAGATGTCGAATCTCAGGGTAAGCCTGCGAAATTTGGTCCTTTAAGGATTGAATTTTTTGTTAAAATTTCTGAAAGATGTGTTGCTAGAATTTTTGTTATACATTTGCGAAATGTTTCTAAAAGAGCAATTGGTCTTAAAGAGTTTAAAGTACAGTCCCACTCGGCTGACTTTGGTATCGGGTATATTTGACTGCACTTCCATTTGGACAGGATTTTTCCAGATTTTAAGCATAACGAACCAAATTTTCTAAAGAAATCATGCGTTAGCTGATTTGCTTGTTTGATCAATACATATCCAATTCCTGATATTCCAGGAGCTGTGTTGTTCTTAAGCCCCTTTAGCATATTATGTCATTCTAGCTCTGAAATATCGCTCTCCAAGTTTAAATACCAAGTTTCGTTTATTTCTGATTGCGGCTTATATATTTTTTTCCATTCTGGAGTAAGGAGATCAGTATTTGGGCTGCTTTTGTTGTATTGATTTTGAAAGAAGTTTTGAGTTTTGATTAAGACATCTTTTGGTTTCGTGTATAGCTAGAAATTATTTATAGTAATACATATATATACTGTATAGTATATATATAATAGTATACGAAAAACTCTTCCCGACTATCACTCGTACACAAAAATTCTCACTTTAAAAATTTCAAAAATACTTTATTGCTCATTATTTTACTATACAAATATAGTTTTGTCTCTTAAGTAAACTTGTTTCTTCCCTTCTGCTACACATATTACTTCTAAATCTTGCAAAGTCATCAAGTTAAGGTCTTTTGGCTTGCTTTTGTATTTTACTTAAAATACCTACCAAACAGCCTTCTTAACATATTGTTTAAGCTTAGAAAAAGTTAAAGAGCTCACGGTTCCTGTCATAACAAGCTATAGTACAAGTCTGTAGCTTTAAATCTGACAGAGCTACGTCCAAATTACTGCTTTAACTCTCTACAATTCTCTTTTTTATTATTTATTTATTTTTTTTCCTAAAACATTTTGGCAAAAACCACTTAGACATTTTCCATGTAACCTCAATTTGCATCACCCACATTTTCAAATACCTCAATTTTAGTGGTTCTTCCCATTTACACTATTTTTAAGTTTTATTATACAAATTAACTATTTATATCTTTGTATTCTTTCTATTTTTAATTTAGCAACTTCACCCAAGTTTCACAGGGCATACTTGGGTTAGTGTTTTAAGCTGGCTGAAGCAGCCACGGCTAAGCCGGCTTAGGCAGTTAAGCCAGCCAATATAAAGCTGTCAGCTGGCTAATGCGGCTAAGGGTCACCAATCACATAATAAGTATTTTTTTATATAACCCAAAATTTAAAGTCAAATACATCAGAACTAGGCCAGCATTAAGCTATAATGCTAGCCAACTATATTATAACAAAATTAACATTTGGATAATTTGACATAAGCTACTGTTTATTACAATATTAAATTTTGATTATTTCAACCTAGAATTTTGATCAGTTTGGTTGCGTAATTAACTTATTTCTAGCCAGCCACTATTAGCCACTTAGCCGATGTTTTTAGTTGGCTGGCTTAGCTAGCCGACTAAAATTATGCGGCTTAAATCACTACCTAAGGGCACCACCAAAAATTTTCGGTTACACGAAATCTTGCCCAATAGAATTAGCTGCACATGTAGATCGCTACATTAAATTTTAATGCTTTTTTGCAACTTCGAACAAAAATATCTCAATAACCACCAAACAAAATTTGATAAAATTTTTTTTATTTTAATTAAACAAATATATGAGATCACAATAAAAAAATTTTTATCAAATTTGGAGTAGTGGTAGCCAAGATATCTTCATTTAAAGTTTAGAAAAATTCTATTATAACTTGAATTTTAATAGATAGTTTAATTTGTTGATAAACTTGAAACAAAGATATCATGACAACCACCAAACCAAATTCGATGAGCATTTTTTTATTTTGATTATACATACTTATAGAATCAAAATAAAAAAAATTCACCGAATTTAGGTTGTGATTGTTGAGATATCTTCATTTAAAATTTTTAAAAAATTCTATTATCATTAATAGACGGTTTATTTTGTTGACCATTAAACGAAGATATCTCAACGACTACCAAACCAATTCGATGAATATTTTTTTATTTTGATTCTATATACTTGTAGAATTAAAAAAAACAACATCAAATTTGTTTTGTAGTTGTCGAGATATCTTTGTTTAAATTTTAAAAAAATTCTACTACAGCTTAAATTTAATAGACAGTTTGATTTATTGACAAACTTTAAACAAAGATATCTCGACAACCAAATTCGATGAACTATTTTTTATTATGATTTGGTATACTTGTATAATCAACCCAAAAAAAAAAAATTATTGAATTTAGTTTGGTGGTTGTCGAGATATCTTTGTTTAAAGTTTGTTAATAAATTAACTATCTATTAAATTCAAGCGTAATAAAATTTAAACGAAGATATCATGCTAACCACAAAACCAAATTCTATCAAATTTTTTTATTTTGATTCTATATACTTATAGAATCAAAATAAAAAAAATTCATCGAATTTAGTTTGGTGGGTGTCGAGATAACTTAAAAAAAATTACTACAGCTATAATAAACAGTTTAATTTATTGGCAAATTTTAACCGAAGATATCTCGGCAACCACTAAACTAAATTCAATAAGATTTTTTTTATTTTGATTCTACAAGTATACACAATCAAAATAAAAAAAGTTTTATTGAATTTGGTTTTATGTTTGTCAAGTTATCTTCGGTTAAATTTGTCAATAAATTAACTCATTTATTACTGTAAATTCAAGCCGTAGTAAATATTTTTTTGAAGTTATCTTGAGACTGACCAAATTAAATTCAATGAAATTTTTTAATTTTGATTCTATATGTATATAGAATAAAAATAAAAAATTTCATCGAATTCGGTTTGGTGGTTGTTGTGATATTTTCGTTTAAAGTTTATTAACAAATTAAAATTTCAAAATTCAAGTCGTAATAGAAATTTTCTAAACTTTAAATGAAGGTATCTCGACTACCACCAATCCAAATTTGATGAAATTTTTTTTATTATAATCTCATATATTTTTTTAATCAAAATAAAAAAATTTATCAAATTTTGTTTGGTGGTTGTTGAGATATCTTTGCTCAAAGTTGCAAAAAAGTATTAAAATTTAATGTAGCGATCTACATGTGCAGCTAATTCTATTGGGCAAGATTTTGTGTAACCGAAAATTTTTGGTGGTGCTCTTGGGGTAGTTATCCGATCTAGGGTTTTTAAGAAACTTGATACCGTATTATACAATTGGTATAATACCCGTATAATACCAGTATTATACACAGAGGGTATGTGTATAATACCATAATTAAAAATAATTTAGCCGATTAAATAGTTTTTTTTTGAGGACACGAAGGTTTCCGATTTAAACAAGCTAATTTTTAGAAATTTCCGAAAGATTCCGAACCATATTAAACTATATAGAAGTAAAATATTGGTAATACCGTATTATACGGTGTTATACCTGGTATTATACTACCATTTCTATTATACCGGTATAATAAAAACCCTAATCCGATCAAAGTAGTAGAGATTTAGCCAATCATAGGTTAGCAAATAGATCACATGTATGTGGAACATCCGGACATAGTGATCAACTTAAGCATAGACTGTAAGTCATCCGGACAATAAAATATACTTAATTAAACACTTTTTATTAATATATCACTCTATTTTACACATCTGTAAACAAAAAAAAAAAAGTATTAATAAAAGATTAGCCAATTTATATCGATATAAATATTTTATGCATCTAAACAACTTTACTTATTACATAAAAGTTAAATAATCAGTTTCGATAATCGATATACAGAAACCAACCAATTGCAATGAAGCCCGCTCGATAAATAAAAAAAACCTTCTGAATTTCTGCATTTTTTTATTGTTATCGTTATTGTTAAAGATTATTATGAAAGAATTTCCATTATAAAATAAAATTTCGCAAGGGAAAAAGGAGTTATAAACAATTTTAAAAACTGTCGAACTTTTTTTTTTTACGCTATTGTTACATTATACTTGATTGATCATAAATTAAGTTCTACATCCTGATCGTGATGTTGTTTACAGTACAAGCATGATATATAATTTTGACACATGCCAAGTATGCAAAATTGGATCATCTCATGTCATTAGACTCCATTGTGATATATTGTATAAATATTTATCGCTAATTACGAATAAAAAAAAATTCCCACCTTTTTTTTTCTTCCTTTTTTTTCCCTTTTTTATCTGAAAAGAGAAAAAGAAAATGTCAGATACATTAGAAATTCCACCAAAAATCAAATTAATTCTTCGACATGATTGGGCAAAACTTAATTCTAATTTACCAAAATTAATAGAAACTTTAACCAAAGAACTTGGTTCAACAGAATGTTGGCATAAAAAATCCACATTTTTTGAACATTTATTTCATGTTTATCAAATTTTAACAATTTGGAATCAACCACAATATTTAATTGATTGTGGATTATTTCATTCAGCTTATTCAAATTCTTATGTTAATTTAGCTATTTTTAAATTAAATAATGATATTAATGAACGTAAAAAACTTGAATCTTTAATTGGTGAAAAAGCTGAAAATTTTGCTCATTTATTTTGTATTATTCCAAGACATGATTTAATTTTTAACCAAATTTTTGGTAAATTAAATTTTAATGATTTAGAAGAAGATAATGATGAAAAGTTAAGAATTATTATACCTGATGAAGGAATTAAAGTTCAAAATATTAATACTAATGAACCAATAATTTTAGATAAATTTACTTTAGCACTTTTTTTAATTTTTACAATGGCCGATTTTTCTGATCAAGTATTTGGTTGGCAAGATGAATTATTTGAAAATTATGATGGTCAATTATTATTTTATCAAAAATCAAATGATGAATTTAATTTTTCTTTATGGCCTGGTGATTGTAAACCTGGTCTTTGGTTAACTTGCTTATCTAGGATTGGAAAAATTATAAGATGGTGCCTCAAAGATTCCGATCCTGAATTAATTCCTCCGGTGTTTAATAACTGCACGGTTACGCTCGAACCTTTGAATTTGATCAAATCAAGAGATTTATACTGGGAAGTTGTTACGATTAATAATAACTTACGTAACGTCGAAGCTATACCAGAAATTGAAAAGAAATTGAAAGAATGTATTGAGATTAATCCTTTCGTCGCAGAACCGCACGTATTATTAGCACAAATTTATATGAGATTGGAGAAATACGAAGAAGCAGAGCAGGAAGGACTAAGAGCATTGAAAATATTTTTTGATTGGGGGACTTGTTGGGATAAGAGAATGAATTGGGATGTTTGGATAGCTTATGTTAGAGTTGTTATCGACTGTGCCAGAAAAAAGGAATGGTTTAAAAACGGATTTGATACACTAAAGGTGGGCTTGGTGCCTGGTATCTAAGTATTTTTTATTGCCAAAATTTTATGCAAAATTGGGGTTTCTTCTAAAAAAAAAAAAAAAAACAATTTTTTGAAATTTTTCTTTAAATGCTACTATAATTTTATACATTAAAATATCTATGAAATTAATAAATACATGCTTTGTAATTTGAAATTTGGTTTACTTCACTTCTTCACTTAAAAAAAAGATTTAATACAAAGCGATAATTATCCTTTTATATACAACTATTTAGTATTCAATCTATCCCATTTATGTTCACGACTCTTAAGGTATTCATCATCTTTTCTTTTTTGATTTTCTCTCAACTTTTCGTATTGCAATGATTGTTCGTTTGTTTCAGCCAATTCTTGAGAAGTTGGGAAACCGACTCTCCAGAATCCAGGAGGAGTAGGTGCACGACTATATCTTGATCGATGTTTAGAAGTAAGTTGTAATCGAGCTTCCATTAGGGCTTCAGCACTTTGTTCTTCTTGATTCGAATGTCCACGATTTAGTCCAGTAGCATCAGGAATTGGCATTGGACCTGTTATTTCATAAAACTGAAATTCAAATAATAAATATAATATATAATAGTATCGTAAATTTATAAAAAAAATATAAACATAAATAGAAATATAAACATAAATAGAATCACTCACTCGACGACAATCACGACAATCTTCACCTTGTAACTGTCGACGTTCGCTCTGTTTTCGTACTACTTCATTATACCTAATAGTAGTATCGGATAAATTAGGACTGACAGTAGGACGACGTGGAGCATTTTTGTTTTTAATATTATGTGGGGTAATCGGAGTGAGTAGTGTAGGACCTTCTTCACCATCACTACGGATTCTTTCAGAAACAATCGGTTGATTATCATATTCTCGATGTGGAGTATTAACTATAATTATATCATTGTCTAATTCTTTCTCATTAGATATATTTTTCCACCGTTTATATGGTTTATTTTCTAATGGTAAAATATTAGTATCATCCTCTTCTCGTTTAATAGCTATATCAGCAGGTCTTTTCCTGCTTGGTGATTGATCATCATCGTCAGAAAGAAACAAATTATCATCATCATAATCATCAATATCAATTGGATTTTCAGCATTTGTACCGTCAGGTAGACCAAAGTCAACATCCTTTTGTCGATTTAAAATTTCTCCATTATCATGATCTAGATTGTTTTTATCAGTAATGTTGTTTGAAGTGTTTTCACAAGATAAAACTTTGTTTGCATTAGAATCCGAAGCTTTTTGATTATTATTCCATAATTCAGTAGAATCTTGAACATTCAAATGATCAGGTCGCGATTTTTCAATAATTAAAGAATTATATGATAAGTTTGAAGATAATATATTAGTTTGAGTGTGATTATCAGCATCTTTTTTATTATCAGAAACATGTGTCGAAGAACTATCGATGCTTATGATGGAAATATTATTGACGTGAGAGTGTGGCATACGATTTTGAACATTCGTAACATCAGCGAGAGTACCACTTGATTTAGCTTTCGGATCATTTACAGAAGTAATAGGTGGATTATCTTGATGACGATCAAATCGAGCCGCACTTGATACAATCGCATTATCTACTTTTCCTTTTTGTGATCGCAATTGCCTCATTTCGGATTTTGTGTCTTCAATCCATTGTTTTGCACGTTTCCATTCAGAAGATCTTTTCTTGTAATGGTCTTTCAAGTCTTGATAATCTTTTGATTGTTGATCATATTTTTTTTGGAGAACGGAATATTTTTCACTCCACTCTTTATTCGAATCTTCAAATTCCTTTTGATGTTTTCTACAAAAATTATCATGTGAATAAAATTTTTTAGAATAAATATTATATGGAAAACAAATAATAATAATAATAATATTATTATTATTAATAATGATGAATACTTTTCCAGTTCTTGGATAATTTGGGAAACGTCGTTATTACGCGCCGAAGAAGGAGATTGTTCATTAGCACATGTATCAGCGAGAGCGGGAGGGCTTTATTTATAAATTGGAATTTTAAAAAAAAAGTTTTTATTAAATAATCTTGATAATTATTATAATTATTAATTTATGTCAGGGTGAAACCCGTGCTAAATTTAGTAAAACTCATTTTGATCATAGGGTTAGGGTGAAATCCACGTTAGTGTAATTTTTTTTTTAATATATATTTCACCCTGCATAGCGGATTTAACCAAAATTCAACGCGGGTCACCAAGTCGTGTTTTTTTTTTTTTTTTTAAAAAAAAAAAATAATAATAATAATACATAATGCTTACTCTTGACGATTTTCTTTTTCAATTTCCATAACATCAGTTTTTTTCATATCAACATCCATAGCCTCAGAGATACCGTCATTATTTTCTATATTTCGAGGAGAATTGTTTTTTTTCAGAGACCATAATTGATTTTCTAAAAATTCGATACGTTGCCTAAGAGCCGAATTTTCTTGTTGTATGACTTTATTAGCTTTAGCTTGATCGGATATAGCTTGAAAAATAATAATTAAAAATTATCGAAAATTGATAATAATTGAATTGGAAATACAAATCCTTTGCAATGTTCTTTTATGTTTTTTGCATGTTTAAAAACAAACCTTCTAAAGCCTGAGCCTGACAACCGAGAATATTTTGTACCAATGAAGTAGGTAGATAAGATGAATTAGTAGTGAATGGAGTTGACCTTTCACGACTTTCTCTATGACCTATTTCTATAGACGCGTATGAGCTTTGCATTTTGATGTTCGAGAAATTTTCACTTTTTTTAGTGAGAAAAGTGAGAAAAGTGAGAAAGAAAGGTTTGGCAAAGATGAATTATATCTACGAACAGGTTTTAAAAATGAATAAGGTGAACGACTATGGTAATGCTAAATTTCGATCTCAATATCGATATATATTGCAGATTAAAATAATCAGCAAAAGAAAATGACTCACCTTAAATAGAAAAGAAAAAAACTTTAAGAAGCGTCTTTTCAATTGAAATATAGAAAAAATAGCAGAAATGACGGAGTACAAAATTAATCATATACAGAAATAATGTGTCAAATGACGGAGGTACGCCATTTGTGCATTTGTTGACCATTTGTTTTCATAGAATCATTTTATATAATTGGTAATAATTAGGAATGATTGGATAATGATAAGCATAATTTTACCCCTTTTTTTGTGTCGGACCTTTGTATTTCCGTCATGAAACTGCCTGTACCCAAAGGCTGAGACAGTTTTTACTTATTTAGTGCGTTCTAAAATTAACACTGACCCTATGTTTGCAATATGGTTTCACTATTGCAGCTTGGTTTCAGTATGACAGACGGTATTTAGACAAATTGCTTTTTTGTGATTCTTGGAATTTTTGAGCAGATCGCCACGAAGCATAATTGTATGATTGTTATTTTTTTTTTTTTTAACTTGGATAACGGTTCTGCAATTACCGTAGTGCACTGACCAAAAGACCCGAGGTCTAATACAAAATACCCAACAAAAAACTTACAAAAGACCCGGGTATATTATACAGCCACGGGCCAGTGTCGCAAG